CTTAATTTTCTTTCATATCTCTCAGTTTTCGATCCTTCTCATATATTGTAGATGCAGTTTCTGGGTAAGCCTACAGTCATTAATTTGTTATGCAGTCTTACAAAACAGCATTCTAGCCCTTCTGTTCTGGTAGTGCATGAGCTACTTTTGACCTTTAATACCCCTAAGATTTTCGGCCAGTTCAGCCAATGCACAAAATTTTCAGACAAAAGGGTGTCTGGAGGGTGTATTTATGCTGCACAAGGTGAGAGAGCATTACAAATAATAACGTAGTCCTGAAGCAGGCAGGTGTGTGTCCTTAACTCTGGAGCCAAGTTTGCGTGATTCTAGCTGTCTCCCTAGAGCTGCACAGCACGCTAGTCTTTAAAGCCAAGTAAATCATTTCAGCGTGCACTGGTATTTCCTCCAGTTAGAAGAGTGGAAAGAGAGGATTTCTCCTCTAGCTCAACAAGAAACAGGCAAAGAGTCCTCCTTTCACTCAGCATATCTCCTTCCCCTCATATGATAATTTTAGCATATGTTAACAGCTATAGACCTATTATAAACTGAGACTCTCTAGTGCAGCAAGCAAAAATATTTTCTTTACCAGGCTGTAAAGTATATTTACAAAGTCAAAGAAAAAAAAACAGTAGCCACTAATACAACAGACATGGCTTTTCTAATTATAATCTCTTCTTTCTTAGAAAAGTCATATCGTTCTCCAGGCTGCTGTAAACTCCTTACCATACGGGTGAGGAGTTAAAAATAAGATAAGCACAACGTGGAGACAAAACATCTGGCTTTTATCCCCACTTTTTTTTTGCAATCACCCATTAGGAAATACACTTATGTGGATGCTAAATTTAACTAGTTGCAAACCGAAACACCCACTTCTTCCAGAAGGAAGAACGATGTGGACATCTTCACTGCCAGCTCCTGCCCGGGACCTCTGCTGTTAACAACCATCTGAGCTCCAAATGCCCTCACTGTCCTGAACCTTAAGGTCTCTTCTGCCTCCCACAACTGCAACTCAGTTGGATGCCAGGGTCCTTAAAGCCTTCTCTCATAGCAGCTAAAGTTAGGGGATGCCAGCAGTTCCCAGCAGTACCTCAACTCCAGCAAGACCAGCATAGAAATCCAAGGTAAAAAAGCCAGCCCAGTCAGTTAGCTCAGGTTTCACTCCACACCTCACCAATTGGTAATGAAGGGATTACCTTATACTTGGTCTTTAAGCACTCAAATAACATTACAAGATACTGGGCATACATTCATTTGAATGTTTTTGCTGTAGGTTATTTGCTAATAATTTTTCTGATTTTCTCCCATTTGCCCTATACTCAGCATTGTGTTTTAAAATAGTATCATATATTCATCAAATTTTAAAATTTGTCTATTGTAGTTAGTGCTTGGTTCATGAACTTTAGTATGCCTTGAGGAAGATCTAAGCTCCTCTTGAAAGATGGTAACATTGTTAATAACCTCTGCTGCTGCCAGTTCCCTTACAAACACTACCAACTGAGCTAAATAACATGCTATCTTTATGACATTTCCAGTTAAATTCAATCAAAGCTTTCTAAAACCACAGAATACAAATTCCATATTTCACATTCCATAAATCAGACTGTTTCATATGCACCTATTAGCACTACAGCAAAGATCCTGAGATAATTACCAAAGTCACGCTAAAAATGTGGTGAAAATACAGCTACACAAGATTCTGTGGTAAATGTCTCCATAAATTTTTACTATTCTGTGACTCTGAAGTGTGCTACTAATCTATGTTTTCAATTTCTCTAGTTAATTACAGGAACTTCTGCTTACAATTACAATTGTTGATTCAATCTAACTCAGCCTTACTGCTTCAATAACTTACCTCAAAATGTTTTTTCTAAAGCAGAAATCATCATATTTCAGTACAGACCCTTAAATATAAGCCTAACATACTTCTAAAAGGAAAGGCAAGTTAGACAAGTTATATCCAGTCAAAATTTTTAGTGTGTGTATTTTGTGTGACGTAAATAACTTTTGTTATATGGTTAAAATATTATCCCACACACACGCTCCCTGTTGATACTGTTTTCCACATTCAGCTTTGGCTGGCTGAAAGGCCAGGTCTGTACTGCAGCCGATAAACGCCACCTACTGGAATAAATCCAGATAAAACATTTCTTGCAAAAGAGAAAGCAACAGTTGTTTAAATCGGCCACAAGATCTTTTGAGAGAGATTGCTGTGATAAGTCCTCGGCAGAAATAGGCTTGCTGTTGTAATTTACTATGACATTTGCACCAGCTACAGAGTTTTATTCAGCCAGTAAAGCTCCTGAACTCCTCAGCCGTCGGGACAAGCAAATACATATTCAGAGAGCTGGCTCACACATTTCAGAAGGATTTACTAGTGAACAGTGTGTAACTGCCAGTCTTCAACCCTTGGAAAATGGGAAGTGGAAAGGAGAATATATCTGAAAGATTAATGAAATGGAAGTGACTTTAAGGTAGCATCATACCTGTAAATAAGTGAAATGGATCTGAGTTTCAGACAACCTCAGTTATTTACAGAGAGTATACACACTTGTACTTAATTTAGGAATAAAAGGACAATATGAGTTGATACCTTTGTTCATACCTCTGTGCCTCTCTCACCTAGTAATCCAAGCAAAGCTCCTTAAAGCTTTCTTCAAACATTCATCACCATGCTCCACAGACTCGTCACTGCTTGTCTTTCATGGACACTTAAAAGTCCAGAAAACAACCAGCAAAAACAACCACTATTCATGGCAAAAAAAATGCCTGTGGAAGACAACCTTTAATCTCTTCAAGATATAGAGCAAAATCACTACATTTCATCAACATTTAGCTATGTGTACTATCCTCAAAAACTAGGAAGGGAAGCAAATGTATGGGTTTTTGGGTTAGATGTGTTTAGAGCAACCAGACATTCACCTGATGGGGCAGAGAAAGTGATGGAGTCCTCAGTTCCCCTTCCTGCTCTAAAAATAAGTTACGCAGTTTCCATTAAGATGTCATCAGATGAAAGAAAAACTGTTCCTAAACCCAAGGTGACTATCCTCAGCATTAAACTTTGTCACATCACAAACCTTGCAATTCCCTTTTGCACACAAAGGTAACTGACAGGAAAAGTAAAGACTACCCTCACTTACTCCTTAGCATGGTGGTTGCTGTATTTTTTTGCTAGTTGAGAGAGGGGGGTTTGAGCTGCTACAGGAAATTAATCTTAGTGTCTCAGGTGGTAGCTGCACTAGCAACCAGTAGAGGCCACCAGAAGCAGGTCTCCATAGACCAAGAGTTGGTAATGAGTACCTGACATCTGCACTCACACATTTTAAGAGTTTTACCTCAGACTAGCTCTAATCTGGTTCCCCATTAGTGGCTGGAGCACACCGGTGTCCTGCTGGACCACATCTTCTATTTTAGATTCATCTGAAGGAAATCCAGTTCACATGCTACAGGAGTATTCACAGTGCAAGTCACGGGGTAGTAATTGGTGACATCTGAAAGACACTCATCCTTTTTTGTCAACATTAGAAACCATTAGGTGGAACATCTTGATTGTAAATATGTAAACAAACAAATCCAACGGTGTTTAAAGTGGTAAGGGGAAAAAAAAGAGTTCTGGTTTGGGTTTTGTTTTTTTTTCATCCCCCCAAAAAAGAAAAACAGCTTACCTGAGTCTGGAGTCTTTAAAGGTGTCTAAGTACGAAGGATAATTCCAAGTAACATTACTCCCCTTACATCGCAGCTCTATGCTTTCTCCTGCAGACAGGCTTAAAGTAGCAGCCAGTTTCTGGAAACGACCTTTATCCATCACCTGTGTCAGTATGGACTGGGACTTCAAAGAGGAGTCAGCAGATTCTCTCTCCTTTATTTTAGGTGCTTTGGGTTTTACTTTTTTGTTGACAGGCTTAATTTTGTTTTCCCCAGGTTCTTTTGGACGCTTACTCTTTGCAGGCTGTCCAGTAACTAGTAAAAACAAAAAAAGAAGGCAATGTTACCGATTAGAAAAAGGTTACATGGACTTCTTGCAAAAAAAGGTATCTTCCTTATTATCACAGAGAGTAACTAAACTTTTCTTCTTCCTACAAAGGATTCATAAAAATGAGTAAGAGTTAATTTCCCTAAGTTTTTGAAGCCTCTGGCATGACCCATTTTCCTGTGGAAAAAGGAAAAAAAGAGAGCTTTCAACATGTGGAAAATCTACATTACAGCTCACATAAACAGACAAATACGTAAGGTATGAGAACTTTACAAATAAGAGAAAGAAATACAGCAGTTCTATCTCCAGTTATTCTGTCATTTCAAGCTCATGTCACTGCCATTTAGTACGCAATGCTACAAAGTCCTCCATCCTCATAAGCATGTCACACACCCATGAATTCTACATAACCTTTTCACACACCATGTTGCTCTAAGAGACACATGAAGAAAACCTGGCAAGCGTGGAACATCATGGTGATTTATAAAATACTGACAGCAATGCAGTTTTAGTTTTTTACAGCAAGTACTGTGAAAATACAAATGGCAGTTAAGTCACCTGAAGGTAGTATTTAATTCATCACTTCTCTCAAACAGCCACTTATTTTGACAGTCTGGATGAAAACACCACCTTATTAGAGGCAAACAGTAAGAGATTTCAATACCTGCTAGAGACAACAGGGATGCCCAGTGCCTTTAAACACAAAGTAAGGAGATGAAAAGTAAAAGTGTAGTGTCTCACACTAAAAAAAAAAAAAATTAAAATCAAGATATTCCCACTTTAACTGACAGCAGGAAGCACATCTTTTGTGAGTTGAGCCTAAAACTGCTGTCCCCAGACACCAAAATGTGCCTGATAGCTAATTCACATTGAACATAGCTTTTCCACATGAAAACATTTGGACATCTTATTGTGCAAATCAATCAATAAGCTCTCCCTGGAATTAAACAGAGCCCTGCTATATACCGAGTTAGCATGAATTAAAACTGACACTGGCTGCAGTATGAACAGTAGCACGTCCAGACTCCTGTCACTGATGGCTACCGCGATGCTCCCCATACCCCAGCTGGGCATCTTGCACTGCTTCAGCCCTGCACATAGCTCTAAGTCCAGGCTGATGTACACCATATCTCTTTTAAACAGCACAGAGCCATATAAGCACAAATTTCAAAAACTGGAAATTCAATCTGAACACAAGAAAACGCTTTTTACTGTGAGTGTAGTCAAGCACTGGCACAGGTTGCCCAGAGATGTTGTGGAGTACCCATCCACAGAGATGCTCAAAACCCAACTGGACACGGTCATAGGCAACCTGCTTGAGGTGGCCCTGCTCAAGCATGGGGTTGGGCTGGATAATCTCAAGAGGTTTCTTCCACCCTCAGCCATTCTGTAACTGTGATCTCAGCATGGAGATTAAAGCTGCCTGTGTAGGAGCATTCATGTCTTTTGGCCTCACACCAACTGGAAAATAACACGGTAGGCAGCAATGCTGCAGTTGTCTTAGTTTGCCCAATGCATTTTGAACTCTTTTGGACTCTCATGTAATAAATTTTTTGAGAGGCACACATCTAGTTACTAAGGTACATCCCACCCCCACCACACAAACAGTTTTCCCAGTTCTACATTAGGAGCATTGGTGAAGCTGACTGCAAAGATGCCTCACCACCCTAAAATGAGCCACAAACTGAAGAGATCAAACAGAAACATCTTCCAGAGATCATGACATTTTAAGAGAAAGAGTAACATCTTGTGGTTTCTGGAAAGGAGACTGAAACAAATATTTAGGCATCTTCTGATTTTTCTTTGCACCTGTGATGCCACTAGCCATGTAAAACTGACAGACTTGGGGGAACAATCGCAACAACGGAGAATGTCAGAGAAGTGACTGCTGCCTCCCATGGAAGACCACGAAGCAGAGGTTTTCCTGGTTACTCAGAGCACGTTACCCTAGCAAGTGACACAGCACATGTATTACAGGGGCACACAGTTGGTGCAGGAGCTCTTTTTCCCTGCACTACATTAAAAAGGCTGCAGTGGGTCAGGCCAAATGTCCACCTAGCCAATGTCTGTGCACCGATGCTACCCCATGTCAGATGTCAACCAGGGAACAGGTTGTTAAGTGAATAAATATCCATTCCTTCTCCAACAACTTTCTCGGTGGTACTTGTACTTTTACAGAACTTAGGATATATTCGAACAACACTCTTCTCAACTAATGCATCCTACTCTAATTCTTCCTTGTAAAGAATACGCATCTTACAACAGTTTAGTCACATCTTGTTTGGGTAATGGAAAGGAGACAAAAGCAGACTGTACATCAGGTTCAAGATATGGTCAAATCACAGTTGTGATACACACAACCATACACTAGTGGTGTCTTCTTTCTTGTCTAAATAGCTCATTGCTTTTCAAGATAGCAATGGTTGGACTAGATCTTAAGTGTCTTTTCGAACCAAAATGATTCTGTAATTCTACATTAGGAGCTGACTTTCTCAAGAATAACTGAGTATAACTCCCAGATCACTTTCCTAAGTAGGAATTATTGGCTAGAAATACCTAAGTAGAAACCCATCAATGTGTACATGAAGTTAGAATCCATTATGTTCCTTTGCATCTACCAACACAAAATTTCAAATCTTACTTTGACTGGGTAGTCTTTCAAAACAGAGATCCTTCTGCAATTCTTTATAGTCAGCTTCCTTTTGTTTTGTTTTAGCTGCCTGTATCTCCCTCAAAAAAATCTTAAAATACTGGCAAACTTTCATTTCCCTTGAAAGGAGCAGTTATGTGATAGGTTAACGCACCCCAGTTAAGACTTCAGCAATTTCAGATTCAAATTTAATGCTCAGGTGTATATGATCAAATCATAGCACTTAAACATTGTTCATGTTGCTGATGTTCTCTAAAGCAAATTCTTTTGGCATATGAATGATCTCCAATGATTCTCCCCATAGAGAAAGATTCTGTCTCTGAGCCTGCCATTACAGCTCAGTAGAATACTTCATTCAAAGTTTTTGATATGCTTATCATGTCACCATTTTCCATGAAAATCCACCAGAGTGCCTCCATAGTGCGCATAGGTCACACAAATAGTTAAGTTTTTAATTAAAGTTTTACTTTCTGTAGGTGTTCTTTCATATCTCCTGTTGGCAGTCATTTCTCCCTGCTCCACTCTAGCATACCAGAAGAAGAAAAGAATTTATGGCTGGGTTTATCTCCTTTGCAAGCTGTTTCTCAAACTCTTTTTTTTTCTGCCTTATTCTGTTTCTTATTCTATTTAATCCATATGTGAATTAATGAGCCTCCTGAACTTATGTAATTCCCCCCTTCTGAAATTAAACAAATCAGTAGTTTCTTTGACTTTTATTATTCCTGCAAGAATATTAAAACTCCAGTTTCTAGAACAGTCTGGCTGTTCTAAAGCAACATCTGAATCCAATTACCTGAGCACTGCTCCAGATCTAGCCACGTAGTGCTGGTTTTTACAGGGGTTCTACGAGTAGCGGCTCTGAGAAGTCATCATTTGTGGCACCTAAACAATGGCACTTGGCGTCACACCCCAACGCATGCGATTCAACCTACATCAGGGTGAGTAATTCTTCCTTTCGCCGTTTTATCCAGTCCTTGCTGTTCCACTGATTTTCCTCATCAGAGCAGTCAATCCCTCCATCACACTGGGTGGTCAGAAACCAGGCCGGTTGTTCTCTACAGGGCTGGGATTTCAATCCAGATGCTTTTTACGGACAAAAGCCGCCAGGAAGCAGATTTGACACTAAAGTTTTCTTCAACACATACTGTCACTTCTCCCTTGGGCTGAGCTATTCCATCCTTCCGATGTAATTTGTGCCCTAGTATTAGAAGGTCCCACTGACAGGACTAATAAGCCTTTTGGATAAGCATTCCCATATCAAATCTGTTATTCCAGTTCTCTGTTGTACTTTCCAGGTCTGACTGTAGAAGTACACATGCTTTTGTCTAGACCCCCTTTTCTCCTCCCTCCCCCTCGCAAACCCTATCGAAATAGGGCTAACTTGTTCAAACTACTACGTTGCCATTTCCACTACATTCTGCCCTTCTCAATCCTGACACTTGTTCAAAGGCACGCAGTTCTGACAACCTCACCCCAAGGAAATGCATCATCCCAAACTGCAAGCTCTTCCACACCTGACACTCTGCCTCTTTAAGAAGCTGTTAAAGACTCCCCTACAAAAGCTTTTCAGTTTTAAGTGCCAGAAGCCTGGTTTTGATTTTCTCCAGATGAAGTTTTTCCTCTCCATACAAGCTCCCTCTGTTTCACGTTTCTGTAGTTCCCAAGGACTCTGAACACTTTCCTCCTATAGCGCACTACCAGCTACATAGTAAGACTCTGTCTGACCCTGTATTTCCCTGAGTGTGACAGCAGGGGCATTTCAGAAAACACCATCACAGGGGCTTTTACCTACCTACACAGAAAACCTTGTTTTGCCTCTCTGCGTGTGATCACACTCCTCCCCAACACTTCCTGTAAATCCCACGTTATCTACCAATGCCTCCACTTCTGCACCTCACAATCTTGCCTTTTTGCATCACTGAATCAAGTATCTGTATGCCAAATAACTAAGTTAGCTGTCCATCACCTAAGGTAAAGAGGACACACAACCAAATCACAGAATCACAGAATCACACAG